CATCTATAGTTTACTTTACACCTGATCACATGTTCATGTTAAATCTTGAAACCTCTGGATTTTTGCGTCACCCAAAGAAATGTCAGTATAAACTGTGGAGTGTTCAGCCAGATGAACTTGACAAAAAAATATTACATCAACTTTCTTGACACGTATAATATGTATGAGTAGAATATTTTAAAGTTTTTTTGCAGCCCAGAGGACCGGGCTAGTTTAAGTGTTGGTGTATGGGGATAGGAGAAGTTATTCAGAATTAAAGGTTTTCTAAACATTAAAAATTGTTAATTAGAGTGTTCTTTCCCTTTATAAATTATGAGATACACATTATATTTACTTTCACAAAGTGAATCTGTAAAAATATATATGTTTTTCATATTTAATATATATAAAATTGCTTATCATTTACTATCGAAAAAACGACAGGTCACTTTTTTAGAACATCGAATTTCAATCATCGCGTAAAAACGCACTTTACACAGTTTGTATTTTATATTCTTAAAGTGAAATATATTTTTAAAAATAGGTGATGCATGTGTCTGGTTTTAATTTATATTTTATGCAAAAAAAAAAAACATTTACTCGAGGAATTGATCAAATTTAAAAGGGTATCGTTTTTGTTCGATTTTCATCTGACTACAAGTTTTCAAAATATTCTCATCTATCGTCTCTATCATTAACATGATTAAGACACATGCCTTTTTCACACACAACGAAGCGGTTTGATGATCAACTCATTTCCATTGTTTAATTTACCGGGCGAAAATTAATGGTTAATTCCAATGTTTTTCTTTTATGAGTGGATATTTAAAAACTGATGGCCACAATCCTATCTAATCATCGTTTAGAAATCTCCATGCGAAACAACTACCTTTTACAAATCAGTATTTTGCGATTTTAAAAGAACAAGTTACTAAGTTTTTCAACTGCACAGTTTTACAAGTTCATTTGCTCAACCATTTATGAGTAAAATCATTTTTATATTAAGATAATCACTGTTTTAGCAATTAACATACATACAGAGCATTTTTGATACGAAAAAGGTAATTTTACAAAACTATAAGTAATTTTCAAGTTGCTGTATGATTTATCTTTCCGATGCCATTCCGATGACATTTTGTTTTCCTGCTATGTGTGTTTTTCTTTACATAATTACAGTGTAGGTGATTTTTTTTATTATCCATTGTATTAAATACAGAATCAAATTAAAATAACAGCAGAATATACAATGGTTAGTTAACATTCACGCACCCATCCATACATCCATTTACATTTTTAATTAATATGAAGGTTGCTTTATTATAATCAGTTAGTCAACATTTGTCTCTATCATACAAGCTAAAAGTTAAAGCCTGTCACATAATATTACATTTGTTCAAAAATATTTTTCCACAAAATCCACTGTTCTTCAAAATAATGTAACTTTGAATTATTGATAAATATGCATCTTTCAATATTGTACTTCATTTTCAAATAGTTAGTTAACCAGTAAATAAAGGTATTTTGGTTGCAATAAATATGAAAAAATATATTGTTTTGTGTATAATATCATAAAGTTTTCCATTTTATTATCCTTAGTAAGTGGTGATTCACCGAAGATAATATTTTTAACATTAAATGCAACTCTCTTTGAAACTGTTCTGTATATATGTAAACTCAAGTTCCTCCATAAAGATATCATATGGTCACAATTGACAAATACATGCAGTACAGTTTCAGTTTCTTGGGCACAAAACTTACCAACATCAGTAGTTTTTATATTGATTTTCTTAAGATAAGAATCTACAGGGATGATCCTTTGTAAAATTCTATAATGTAAACCACTGTACAGAAGAATCAGAAGTAGTCTTAAAACAAACTTTAAAAACGTCTTTTAAACAAATATCTGTCACTCCAAAGGGAGATAGGTCTTGATTCAATTTTGGATTTGCTGTAGGAATTTTATCATTTCTGTTCATATAGTTGTAAATTCTCTTTGTACATTTTTCATAGTGAAAAATATTTTCAAAATAAAATGGTAAATTTGTCTGACATTGTTTTCTCAAATACATTCCATCTATTGACATATTCTTTAAAAATTTAGAAATAGCAGAAAATGTACTATTATACTCTGCATTAAGCCAACATTGAAAATACTGAATTTTTCTTGGAAGGCAAATACATTCCATCTATTGACATATTCTTTAAAAATTTAGAAATAGCAGAAAATGTACTATTATACTCTGCATTAAGCCAACATTGGAAATACTGAATTTTTCTTGGAAGGCAAATTTTGATAAGAAATTGTAATCTTCTGAAAAAAAATCTACAATATTTTTAACTCCACTTTTAAACCAATTTTCTGTGAGAATACTTTTGTTTCTACCTTATTATTTAAATTATACCATACAGGAATATTATAAGCCTTGTATTTTTTTCATTTCTACATCCTGATCTACATTCTTCAAAACATCAAAGCATTAGACTATTTAAAATATAAGCATCACCAAAATCCATAAATTTGTTTACAACGTCACTACCATTAATTCCTAAAAAATATGTCCAGCCATGGCCTACTTTCTGTTATCAATCTTTTGACCCATGTACATTGACTACATTCATAGGCGTCGGAACCGGGGGGAGGGGGGGGGGGGGGCTAGGGGAGGCTTAGCCCCCCTTTTTTATCCATTATAAAATCACCATAATTAGGTAATTTTATTAAGGATAATAATTACACATTAAAACCTCTCAAGGGTAAAAAGGAAATAGATTCAGGACCATGCTGCAAGCTCAAATTATTATCTTATCAAAATTATTTCATAAAAGGTGTCAACACTAAAACAAATGAAACGTGCTGTTTGTCAGTGGGAATTATTTTCATGTCTACCAGGGTGTGTAACATTACATTTAACATGTTTACTAGATACTAGACTACCTTTTATATTGAATTCAGTTGCGTCGATATGAGTGGGGAGAGGATTACGGCAAAATAAAGTATCAACATTTCTTCTCTGTAAGGACCAAAATATTACTGTAAGGTTTTGGCGCACGCAATGTTTTATTTTCATGAAACTTTTTCTCATGATTAATGCCCATACAGTGTGACAAAATAAAAAATCAATATTAAAGTTGCTACACTTGGTATAACGGACTAACATCCATTTTTGTCCCACTTTATGTTCATTTCATAAAAATGCTGCACACTTGATGTCACATGATTCAATCATCTTTTACATTTCAAGATTATTTGTATTTTATGCCTTAGTCACATTTCCCTGCCGGTAGCCGTGAGATCGGTGGTAATCGGTGGTGAGAGCGATGTCCCAACATCGGTCCACATCGGCCTAGTAGTCTTTAAAGTATCAGTCACATATCCAGCGATGGGGAATACGATGGGGAATACGATGGCCAACCAATGCGTTTTTTGATAAAAATGGCGTGGTTACCAAAGCCCTGGTGGGGGTCCAGGGGGCGAAGCCCCCAGAAGCTCCTGGATTCTAGAGATTTTGAACAAAGGCCAAGTAGACATAGAGATGTATTGCTATAGATGCATTACTAATCATAAAACGATGTTCCAGGGTAAGCAGCCGATATATCTTACATCGCTCATACATTGGTGAACATCGTTCGTACATCGGTCGACTATGGGCCAATGTTTGGTCGAACATCGACCGATGATCGGCCGATGTCTGTTGCCCACCACTCAACCCCCGATAAGTCAGATTTATTGGACACTTGATAATGCTCAGCCATACATGTACATCGGCCAGTCCTTCAAAGATGTGTTGATGATGGGTTGGCGATGAGGAGCGATGTGGGGCATCGGTTGAGACATCGCTGATTTTTAACTACAACTTATTTTCTACCAATGACCCCCACCGATTCGATGACTAAAGCATTATATTCTGTAAAACAGAAATATTAGTTGGAAATTTAATTTTGTTTATTTTGTTGGTAGCAATAATAAAGAATATTAATCAAAACAAATAAATTCAATGTCCATGAAACCTTCTTTAGTTGACAAAACGACAAAAAAATTTTCCCCAAGAAATTTTGTGCTTCTACACAACTTTAAAAAAAATCTAAATGTTTCCGAAATTCTATACCTGGTGGCTCAAAGATGTCCAAAGTACATGAATACTTACGTAATGCAGGTATTCTTACAGAATTTTTAATGCTATTTAACCATTAAAGCTATACATCGCGTATCTGAGCCAAAAAAATAAAAATACGAGATTAAGCGTAGATTTACATTATATATTTAGCCGGGCTTATTGCTCAAAGAGCAATTGCCGGCTTATGTGATCCTGTTCAAGGCAGGATGTTGACCCCATAGTCGCCATTTTAAAGTTACGTGCAAAAATATAGTTCTTACTCTCAACCGCTTTTGAGATAATACAAATGCTAAATAAAGCAACAAAAATAAAACGAAGTTTTATCTATATAAAATAAACATTAGTAGTAATGACTTTGAAAACTTCATAAGTCAAAGAACATAGTTCATTAGCGTAAGGATTTTTGATAATCATGTGTTCACAACCGTAAACTATACACATACGAGGTAAAGCATTTGAGAGGCAACCAGAATGGCCTGTTTGTTTACATTCAGCTGCGGTACCAGATTAATTCTGATTCTTACAAAACCGTTAACGTGGTATTAAGGACTGAAAAACTCACTGCCAGTGTCTTATCATTTATATTGAAATAGTTTTAAGGCAATTTTTTCCTCAGAATATAAACGTGATTCATGTAGGAAATCCATTCTACTCTGTAAATCTATTGTTAACGCTTCTGTACTTCTGAGTACTTTGATTTATTTACGTTCAGATTCAAATTTTCACCTATTGTGAACTTTAAATTTCTATTATCTAGTTAAATTGACTTTAAACTGTGTCTAATATTTATTTCCACGTCGAAAATAAATCAGTTATTGTTTTAAAAAATCTGTGATATCTATGAAACGCGATTGATTTAAATTATATATTTCCTGTCTTTATATAAAGTAACAACACAAAAAAGAAAGATCTTTTTATTGATAGTTAGTCTAAACTTATTAAAATACGCCATATATCACTTTAAACCTTAATAATCGATTTTCATTTTCAACAAAAGTCCTTTTACGATCTCTTTGAGATTTGTCCATCAACATAATGGCTGCTTTTTGTTTACAATATTAAGGTTACTTTCGCTATCCTGGCATAAGAATGAATGTATGACAACTTGACAAGGTTCTAAATGTTCTTGCAAGATCGTTGGACACGTAACATGAAGCACAAAGGTAGCTCCAAGAACATTTTGCTGGTTTGTTATATGCACTGCTCAACCTATTCTCCAAAGTCAGGAAGAGTGTGAAAATAACTTTTAGTTACGGGATTTCAGTACTAGTATTTTTTTTGTCAAACCTATTAATAATAAATCAACATGTCCTTGCCTTTTTACCTATATTAAAAGGGGGTTTATGTTTATTAAAAAACGTCTGACTTGGTAGCTTAGTCTGTAGAGTCCTCGCCTCGTGATTTGGAAGACCATGGTTTCCAGCCTCAGCTGAGGGTGATATAGATAGCAACTGTTCCTTTCCAAGCGCTTGGCACTTTGAAGTGAAAGATGCAAATCATTCGGACTAAACCTTAAAAACCGAGCCCCTGAGTAACAGCAGGCATTGCAATATAAGTCAAATAATGACCCTTTTGAAGCCCTTTACCGGTATATGAAGACTTCTCTTTAGGATTAAGAAATTCTCAAACGGAATAATAAACAACAATCTATCAAAATGTCTAAGGACACCACTATATAACATTAATTGATAATAGCAATTTTTCATACAAAATTAAATGGGATTCACATATCCATAGCCACAAGTCCTAGTTGTTTTTGAAGTTGTGCGTGTCTCCTTGGTGACCTCCACACATGAACAATTCCATCGTCTGCTCCAGTGACCACACACTCACTGTCAGTGGGACAGAAAGAAGTGCCATTGATCACGATCTGTGTGTCTGGGTTAGAGCTGTGGGGTAAATGACCCAGAAAACAGAGGTAGTGCCTGTCCCACAGGTAGGCACGTCCATCCTCACTCCCACTGCAGAAATTAAATTTCTTACATAGATAAATAAAAAGGCTTAGAAATAAGAACATGTCTTGATAGTATATACATTGAAATTCGAATTAATTTAAGCAGAACTTCTTTCACTGAGCAACTGCCACACTACATATATATATATATATATATATATATATATATAAATATATATATATATATATATATATATATATATATATATATATCCCAATGTAAAGTCAAAAGGATATACCCTTCAGAAGAATTGAACAATTGATAAACAGATGGATGCCAACAGCAAGACCTCAGAGAGGCTCACTTGAGATTTGAGTTCAGATGAGGTAAGACATTATGGTATGTTCTGTCTACTATCTTCCTTCTATGGCGTAAATATGAAGTCCTTTAACTGTATGACATTGACAAACAGTCACAACTTATATTTAATTTGTACATGTTGTATGACTATTGTAAAGAGCCATTCAGAGAGAAAACTTGAGATTTCAGTTCAGATGAGCTATAACAAAACAATAAAGTGGTCCTTTAATTCAAATAATGATTCATAAATAAATGAAGATTAATTCCAAACCTGACAATGTAGTCCTGATTGATGTCCAGACAGATGTACCAGGCAGGATACTTAGAGAAAGCTTTATGTCCCCTCAAAAGATCTTTAGTGTGAGTGTTGGTGACAAGGTCATATTTATCTATAACAATGTCTGAATCTACCTTTGGGTAGCCCTCATCATCAAATGCATCATAATGGCACACTCTATGGTTGAAGTACAGTTCCCTAGGAAACAAAATTGACCTTGATAGTGCTGTTAACTAAATCAATTAAAATCAGGATACAAGGAGATAGGCAAACTTATAGTGTGAGAAAATGACTCCATACATCACTGGCATACTGAATATAAATATGACTAGCCTGGCCAAGCTTTCCTAGAAGAGAATTTTTAGAAAATTTTCTCATTATAGCTACAAGTTTTAAATTGCTGCCTGAACTTTTTCTTGAGATTTTTAAAGACTTCTTCTTGAATCTTTGAGCCACTATAATGGCCCCATTCATCCCTTTGAGGCCATAATTCCAACAGTAACAAATCTGCGCAATCTGTGGATGTTTGAAATACATGTATAACTAATCATCACCCAGTTGTTAATTTTTAAACTGCTTATTTTTATATTCCATAGAAAAATCTTTGATTCTCGACAATGGTTCCACTCATAACCCATAGGGCCGGATTTTAAATTAACTTGAATCTGCGCTAGCCAAAGACAATTTATTAGAAAGACAAATCATGATCCTATTGTTCTCAAGACTGAAGAGGAAAGATTTTCAAACATTTTTTACATATATTACATTCAAATATTGATCAGTACTTTCTCTAAAGCTCTCCAGAAACTTTTTCAGTTTAGTTAGTTGTAAGTTTATACAACAATTTGTTTTATTATACTTTCATGTTAAATACTAAAATCTGATTGGTTTAGACGCAGTTAACAATCCCTTTGAGGCCTTAGCAACACACGTGACAACGGATAACACAACGGTAATGCCACATGCGTGGAAATTATGCACGGTTCACCGTATAACTAAACATCACCCAGTTGAAAGAACCGGATTTAACTTTTTAAACTTGCGTCCGATATTTTTAAAACAACAAACGACAGAAATACATGCTTGCTAGTGTAGGAAACATGCTTGCGAGCCACGAAACTTTATATATAAATGACTCTAATTCGAGTATAAACAAACGATAAGGAGATTAGTGAACCGGTGAGTGTGAAAGACTTTTATATACATGAAAGACAAACGATCGATTTTTTTTTTTTTATTGTGACGTCCTAAATCAATAAGACATTCAGTATAATTTTCAAACATTTTTCACATATATTACATTCAAATATTGATCAACTTTCTCTGACGCGTCGGTTGACAACTGGTTTTCAGTTCAGTTAATTGTAAGTTTATACAGGCACCATTTATATAATGTCTCTTTTCTTTATAAGCTTCATATGAGATTCATAAAATGAAAACCAGGCCATACCGGTATTTAAATTACCCACATGTTGGAACACTTGTGAAAGAAAAAGTTTTTACTAACATTAAAAATTAATATTTCTGCTTTGTATTATAATTACTCTTAATACTTTTGTAAATAATATTTCATTTCTAGACAGCAGGACTTATCTATGTAGCAGGAAAATATTTGTTTAGATTTTAGAAACTAAGTGTTTTGAGTTTTTCATTTTGAATAGTATATGTTTCCAATTATCCTGGTAAAAGCAGCTTTGTTCTTCACTAGTCCTGTCTGAATTTTAACAAATAAAAATTATTTTCTCTGTTAAATACTTCTACCAAAGGAATGCCATGAAAATGGTCTGCTTTGTACAAAGCAGACTACAGATGCCCAGTCAAATGAACATACTGGCTCCTATTTAACCTTTTACTGTTCCTAAGCAATAGCCCTAGGGAAAACATTACATTAAAATATCTTGTGTCTTTTCATTGTTGTTGTTTTTTTATCATACCTGTGATCAGGAGAGAGTTTCATTCCAGATATGTAATATTTGTCAAATAATGGTGAGTTAGTGGGCTTATCAATAACTGAGCGAGCTTCTTGGTTTCTTTCTCCTGACCTTGACCTTCCTGATGCTCCTGTTGACTGTCTTACATTACTGCTAGTGGCTGATTTAGCACTGTTACTTGGTTGTCTACAGTTAGCACCCTCTCTGGAATTTCTAGCATGAATCTTTTTGTGTAAATTTGTCACATCATGAATTGATAAACCAGAATGTTGCCCACATACAAATATCATCATTTTTTGTCTTTCACAGGAGCTGGCTTTATCTAATGTAGAGTCTATTTCTTTAATTTTCCCATTTTTAACATGCTTGGTTTCTTTCATTTTCTGATAAGCATTCAAAGTATGGTTACGTGACTGATCATTTGACTGAGGTTCACAAGGAAGATCTGCCACAAGGATGTTCATTGTGTGATGATGATCAGTATCAAAACTGTACACAATCTGTCCAGAAACTGGTTCTTCAATATTCCCCGCTCCTTCTTCTATCACCTATTATATAAACAATGGCACTTAAAATTGTTATTATGACAGACAGTTTCAAAATTGTTTAACATTTCTAAGATACTTAGCATCTTGAGATATATCACACAAAGTCAGACCTTGAAAGCTTTTATGTGTAGGATTGTCTGATTCTCTTCTACATAACCACCTAATACTGTTGTGTCATCATACCAGTCAGCAAACAACTGAGGAGGCTCCATCATCATAGTCTGCAGTATCTTAAAATCTGTAAATAAAAGTCATTCATCCTTTCTGTAATGGATGCATCCATATCTGATCATGTTCTGGAGAAAGTCCTGAATTCAAGAAGCATTATATGATAAACATGTAATCTTGTATAACTCAAAGTTCATTACAATGTTTATACACAATGAAGACTTAATTAATTTTTTGTATAAAACAATTCAAACACCTGTACTAATGTTCGAAAGGTCAACATGATCAAGCTCCACATACACCCCTATACTGTATTTCTGACAAAACCTAGTCCACTATTACTGCCTCATACTAGTCTGAGTTCTTTTATACAAAAAAGTGGCAAAAAGCAGGGTTCTCCACATTTGAAAATTTAACCATGGAGGAAGCTGCGCGAAGGCAAAATGTGACCAAAAACACAAAATTATGCGTGTTAGACTTCCTAATCTTCATTAATAAATGATTGTTTTCACAATGTTTAGACTTAACCACTGCACCACAAAACAATGGAATAACTAACACTTTTTTGAATTAAAAAAAAAAGATTATTAAATATTGAAAAGGATTTATCCTGTATCTTACTTCACAAATGTATTAAAATTTGCCCAAAACTGTAGTAACCTCCTGAAGGAATTTAAAGAAAAATTGTTGATGCAGTAAATCAGTAACCATGACAATATTTTTCATAAATTAATAATTATAAAAATTGTAGCCTGTTGTATGAAATGTTTTTGTTTCACTATAACTAAAACTGATGAATGGATAGTATTTTTTTAAATTAACACACAAAGGAACATTTGGACAAGTGTCCCTTTTTTCTAAACGTTTTATTTCTTTCACCAAGTGTTGTTTACTTCTCCATGTGCCCAGTGCTAAAACTAGTGCCACGCAACGTGTCATAACAACGGGAAGTAACTCTAAAGCTACGACTATACCGGCGAATAAACCTAAGCGTGCTATGATGGCGATTGAGAGGTAGGCCCTATGAACATTTTATCAAAAAGATAATAAAGTTAAAGCTTAAAAAACAGATCATGGGAAATTGATTAACTGCAGAGGAATATGAAATTTTTACAGAGTATTTTTCTTCTGACACAGCATACGATTATCATGCTCGTAATTGTCATGAACCCGTTATATATCTAATCATGTAGTGAAGTTCCCCAAAATTATTTACATGTGTACAGGATAATAAACTCTCAATATATTGATCATCTGATCAGCTGATTGACTCTCCATTGATTGTCACGCTTCACAGCATAGTCGCTGATTAATGACGTGTTTGTTTAACACAGCCTGCTTTCCTTCTAGGCTTGCGAGGTGCATGGGCATTCGTAGTATAAACACAATTAACTACTCAAGTCATTAAAAAAGTAGGTGTCAGGACTAAAATGCAATGAAATTTAATCATGGCGGCTGCCGATTTTAACCATGTCGCAGCTCGTTTAACCATGGCGCACAAAAATTTAACAATGGCGGGCCGCCATGGTAAAACCCCTTGTGGAGAACCCTGAAAAAGGGATCAAAGGATCTTGGACTTAAGATGGTCCCCCTTTATGAGTTGTTTACTTTTCGAATGTCAACATACAAACTTCATTCAGAAAAACTCACCATCCACTTGGGTGAAATTGTGATCACATGAACATGTATATATTTACCACTGGTTCTGAATATTGCCGCTCTGCCAGAAGAGCTGGGAAAATAGTTCTCAACAGTTCCCCCAAACTGAACTCCACATACACACAAGAAGGTGTCACTTTTATTAAATATGGAGAATTGTGTCAGATTCCAGCCCAGTAAAGTCAACATCTTTGCATTGTGTTTAACTTTAGTAGGATATCCCAGTTCCCAAACCTGTTATAAAAAATATGATAAATACTGTATTCACTATTGTATTCCACAAATTCTGAATAAGGTTCAATAAAAAGAAGTTGTTTATGCATAAAAATCAGAGCATAGCTGAGAATAAATATTTAAAATGTTTATTATTTTAATTTTAAAGAAAATTTTACTTCTGTGCAATATTAGCTGTCAGAAGACAATGAAAAAAAGTGTGTTGTGACCTTGACAGTTGCATCCTTGGAGGTCGTACAGAACAGTTTGCCATCATGTGAGAAGCTGACATCCAAAACTTCATCCGAGTGTTCTTGCAGAGTTTCGCTGAGGAATGTAGGTGTTTCATAGGTCAGACGACGAAACTCATTCCTCCATGAAGTCTTTCCTGATGGCAAACTTCCTTTCAAAATTACAATACATGAATAAATAAATAATTATACAGCACATATACAATTACCATTATCTGATTAGCATTTCTAAAGTAAACTTAAATTTTTAGTAGTCATGTTCTTTGAAAAGCTATCCTTGAAACCTTTGCAATATCTGGTTTTTCAAATATGATGTCTGATAACAAATAAAAATGCTTCAATATTTTTTATCTCATAATGATTTAATCTTTAAACAAATTGCTTTAATTCAATATCCTTAATTTTCCATTATCTCTCAGCATGATTATGTTTAACAATTTGTTTAAATTGAATACCCTTAATTTTCCATAATCTCTGAACAAGTTGTTTCCAAACAGCATCTTCCTTTGCCACTTGATACCATAAGTGGCAGGTCAAGGACACAGCATGAAGGTCGGCAGCCTCAAGGTAACAGAAGATATTTTTTAGTATCAGTTCAGGTGCCTCATCCCACATACCTTCTACTCTGCTCTTGACTTACTTCTCTACATGGAAGTAAAAAAAAACATATAATAACTAAAAATACACTTTATTCAAGGAAGAACTATCTAGCATTTCTGATTTTATGATGTAATCATAATCGAGCAGTTGGCTTGTTTGATAATTTGCCTATTGATGAGACAATAGCTTTATGAAGAAATCAAGTTTTTTTTTATCATTCATAGATTTTTATCTTGGAAAATTTGAAATTTAAAGACAAACAAATCAATGTTTTTCTACCAATGAAAAAAAAAATTCACACTCACAAAACAAACAAATAATGTAATACTTTTTACATAACATAATGTAAACACATTATTGAGATTTAAATAACTGCTGCAAATGAAATATTTATGAAGAATATATTTTATGAAGAATACAATTTATCAAATTATTCATGCATGGTATCTATCTTGCAAAGGATAATTACGGAATTGGGATGAGGAAGGTCAAATGAATTGATTTCTCAATCAAGTTTTCAAATATGATATTTAATCCTTGGATAATCACAACACTTACACAGTATAGATGTGTATATTGTATACTATACATAAGAATGTAAATTTTGCCAAGCAAAAAGTCAGGAGCTAAGAAGGCCTAATATGCATGTAAATCTCATGCGGTTGTCTTTGTGTCTGACGTCAGTGGGCGGATACTATTGAAACTGATTTGGAAGGCCATGCTATTAGACAACATTTTTTAAAATCTAAATTTACAATTTTATTTCACAATGAAATGGAAACATAACGAGATATTGCATTGTTTGTTGGGTATGCCAGGGCATCAACGATAGTTGGTAACATGGGACAATTTATGCATAATGGCTTTTGCCCATTATGCAAATTATCGCATGTTTCCAACTATCGTTGATGCCCTGGCATACCCAACAAACTAGAAAGTGATTCCTTAAATACCTTGAATACATCTGATTACAGTGTTTTATAAAGTAACAAAACAAATAGAAAGATTTTTTAAAATTTTATAGTTAGTCTGAACTTATCAAAAATACGCCCCTATAACTTTAATATTACATTGAACTGTATATACAATTTCTAGCTACAGACCACAGGGGCATCTTATCCACTCTGTTCTCTACTTCACATATAAAAATACACTGTGTATTTTTATATGTGAAGTAGAGAACAGAGTGGATAAAATGCCCCTGTGATTGAAGTGAGTGTCCTCTTTACAATATCAACCAATCTTGAAATAAAAATGACACAAATTACCTTAAACAAAAAACAATCGTGAAATGACCTGACCAATTTGTTTGTTGTTGCTGTCAATATCAACCGGATGTAACGTATGCCTGCGTAAAAAAAAGTTTTCCATATAAACGTTTGGAATTCCGGATAGAAAACTATGACAAAAATATTGAGCTCTACACTTTTTATCATGATACCAATATATTACATTGCACTTGCTGTAATAATCTGGTTTAGGCCTACTGTCAAATACTCAATCTTTAAAATGTTTTTTAAGACCAGTAATGTAATTTTAATTGCTTTTTGCAAACGTTGAATTCCTTATGAAAACAAAGTCCTAACAACTGGTAATGGTATGAAAGAAATCAGCCAAATACAGTCATGGGCGCTCCCTATTCTCTTTAGTGGACAGTCTTTCGCCTGGATGTAGACGAAAGCCTGTCCACTTCTTTAAAGAGAATAAGGCGCTCCCCAGTTGATTTTATAGTATAGAGGGGTAGAATCTAGTATATACAGATGGGACAGACTCTGTGATACATAATTATATTAATCATATATTGATTGATTGTATGTTGTTTAACGTTCATCTCCATAATTTTTCACTCATATTGAGACGCAAACACTTGCAGGTGCATGGGCGTTGGAAGTAAATTGAAAGGGGGGCTAATCGAAAGTGGGGGGGGGGGGGGGGGGGGGGGCAAAACCACAAAAAAGGTAAATCCCAATTTTCAATGCCTATATAATGTCTATCTTTGCAAAAAAATGGGGGAGGCTAAGCCCCCCCCCCCACCCGGTTCCGACGCCTATGGGGTGGAGAGCTACGAATTTTGTCCTTTATTCGACACTCAGAGCTACTGAGAAGAGAGGGAGCACCTACTGCGACACGGGACCTCGGCTTATACATGTACGGTCTCATCAGACACCGGAAGGACCGGTCTCCACGTCCCACAGTGGATTCGATCCCGCGACGTAAAGATCGACTCCTTAATTAGCGACTCTAGATTATTAGACACTCTAACCACTGCGCCGCGAAGGCGACAATACTGATATCTTTTAAAGTCACAAAAAATATTCATTCACAAAAACCATGCTAGAAATGTCAGTAATGCTGCTTTTTTGTGACATTGTAAATATTATTGAAAGATCATGGAAATAAATAATAAACAATTATGGTTAATTTTGAAAAAAATATTAGATTTATGTCTTGAACTTTTTTTTGTTTGACCAAGTTACTGAGTTGACCGCGTGGTGCAATTGTTAGTCTAATACCGAGTATGGGTATATTTCCATCCACCGACAACAGCCAGTCGGTCGGGAGAGGGCAAACAAACACTTTTTTATACCCCCCGCTTGAAAAGTGGGAGGGGATATAGTAATCGGTATTTCCGTCCGTCCGTCCGTCTGTACGTCTGTTACGCTTTGGGGTACACATCTCTTATCCGCAACTCCTCTCATACCACTGAATGGAATTTGATGAAACTTTCACAGAATCTTTATTACATATTGCCATTGTGCACCTCCTATTTTACTTTTTGATCCGACACATATTTTGGGTTTCCCGGCCACAGGAAAACATGGACTTTTTCACCAGTTAAAACCATATGGGAGGTGGGGGGTATCACTTAGTGAGCTCATCGCTCACAGTACCTCTAGTTTTAAAGATGGCATTTATCTTTTAAATGCTAATATATTTTAAAATAGGGTTGTGACATTAATGAGATATAATTTGTGAATGTAAAGCAAGCCATAAACAATTGTATGCACTTTTAACTATGTGCCATAGTGACAGTACAACTTGATGTCAAAATTCATTATATCCCCCGCTTGAAAAGTGGGAGGGTATATAGTAATCGGTATTTCCGTCCGTCCGTCTGTTACGCTTTGGGGTACCCATCTCTTATCCGCAACTCCTACTCATACCACTGAAGGAAATTTAATGAAACTTTCACAGAATCTTCATTACATATTGCCATTGTGCATCTCCTATTTTACTTTTTGATCTGACATATATTTTGGATTTTCCAGAGCAAAACATGGACACTGTCATTATATTCATATGGAGGGCGGGGGGCATCATTTAGTGAGCTCATTGCTCACAGTACCTCTAGTTTTGTCTTACATTTGGAAAAAAAATTTACTACATTCACCAAAATGTCATTTTCGGGGCATTTTTCGTTAATATCAAACTAGAATTGAGACAATTGACGTAATAAAGCAATCAAAAATCTATTGTTTTTCTTCAAAAAACCCAAGAGAAGATTCGCAAGCTAGACAGAGGGTCTATATAGGATGCGCATATTCTTTGGGGAGCTAGAGCTTTGGGAGATAGGAATCGAAAGCAGTTTGACAAAGGGTGATATATATATATATATATATATATATATATATATATATATATATATATATATATATATATATATATATATATATAGGGCGATGATGTACATTTCACTGATTCAAGTCTAGACATCTCTTGAAAAAACACTGAAAATAAAATGACGTTATGTGCCACTTTTGCCATCGTAATTCTAAGTTAAAAAATATCAGGCTTAAATGTCAGCCATTAAAAAAATGTTTGACTCTTGTGCATATTTGATACACATTCCAATTACCTTATACAATTCTAGTAAATAACAAAAATCAAAACACTTACGTCTCTCATTACATTTCAAGACCGAGGATTAAGATTTACAAAAGTAGGTCTAAAGAGTTAGAAAAAAAATCAATACAAGGGGCTCCCGGCGGGTGTGACCAGTCAACAGGGGATGGTTACTCCTCTTAGGCACCTGATCCCACCTCTGGTATTTCCAGGGTCCTAGTGCTTTGTGTTTAACCCCTTCCATGGCAAAGATTTTTAGCATTTTTAGAGAAACTGATATCAAGATTTTAATGCATTTTTTCGGGTATTTCTTGTAATTTTTGTAAATACCAATGTATATATATTCTGAAAGTAGGTATTGTGAGGTTTCTGAAAATGATAATGAAAACATTCTTTCTGTTGCCATGACAACGAAATATGCCCAAATTACTGAGAAATCTCTATTTAACCTTCAGTTAGTTATATATTAACTTTTTTAGTTCATTAAAGTATTTAAAGTAAGTAAATTTTGATGCTGAGACATAGCAGCATATTGTTTACCATAAGTTTTAGTCAAATTTTAAGCACTTTAGAGAGTAAATACAGGATTTCAACATTTTATGCTCCAGTAGGGAAAAGGAAGAATAACGTTGCTTAACAGCTATCTCTCGCAATCATAGACCAATTATTAATCATTCCATGTCTGAAAAATCCTTTGCTTGACAGACAAGAAACTTAGTACATGTACACTCATGACTGGTACCCCTTAGTAAGTACATGATGACCCCTTTTGAGATGGAGGTCAAAAGGTCAAAGGTCAAACTATTCAAAATATATAAAGATATTAACCATTCAAGATTTTGAAAACCCTTCGCTCAACATAGTATATACGGTGCAGATCTAAGAAGTCTGATTTTAATTACATTGTTGCTTTTCATACAACAGTTTTTGTTCACTGTTATCCTCTGAAGAGTAAATTACTTCTGGTGATTTTTGGTTTGATAGAATGTTTGCCCCCTGACCAGTAAACAACTATTAATTTTCTTCACAATAACAAATTCTAAAGCTTTTTTCCAATATTGTCGTGCAGGTATAAATTATACATGTATTTGTTTCTCCAACAATTCTTGTTTTTTTATCACACTTTTTTACCCTGGTAGGAATGATCATAATTGTTTACAAGTGGTAAATACTTTCAAGTAAATATGAAGATAAAATTACACAAGCAGAAACTTAGATGTTATCTATGGCTCTGGACAAAAAAAGAACAGAAAAAAATCAAAGACTTTGAACTTTTATAATTCATAGACTTTTCAAAATTTGAATGAAGTTGAACTTTGATCTATGACATAGCACAATGTTGCACAATTGAAAAAAAAATTACATCTTTGAGTAGACAACATCATTCTTAACTTACAAACTTAGGGAGATTTCCAAAAAAAAACCTTAGCTTCCAAAATAACATTTAGGAGATTGGATATGCCTCTATACATGGTATTCAAATTTTGAAATATAATGCGTAAAATTAAGGAATATTAACCTTGATCTTTGAGTCATTGTAATGTACAGTAATCCTATGTTTTATGTATTCCTGCAAGTGACATCTCATACAAATTTTCCAAGCATGATTATGTGACTTATGTAACAAACTGATCTTAGAGATTAACATCAGAATGAAATTCCCTGAAACATCGTTCACTACACAAGTGTTTGTTACACCCTTTACAACCATAAACTGTCTCCTTTCTTTTCTTTTCTCCGTGTTTGGTACACCATTTGCATGTTGACTTTAGGCGATCCAGATGGCAGAAAACATGAGGGGAGTCAAGAATACCCTGTAAATGATGGCCCCGCTTTCTTCCTCTGAAGCCTCCAATAAGTTGCTGAGCCACCTCCATCCTGAAATCCAGCAGGTCAAACCTTGTTTTGGCAGGAAGATCCTTACCAGGTGTTCTGGAAAAAATCTCAAATGCATTTATAAGGCAAACTTCCATAATAAAGTTGAAGAAAAACTTCCAGTATTTCTTGGATGGTCTGCCAACAGGATTCTTTGCGCGGTGTTGCATGCATCTATCGACTCCACTCATATAACGTTGATAGGAAGAAACTGGTGGAGGACACATAACCTCAACAAAATTTCCACCCCGAGTTCGACGGACAACTGGACCGTCTCCAAACGGACTGCAATTAGTGCTCAAAATATGTACCTAAAATAAAATTACATAGAGATACAGGCCTAGCTGGAAATTAAACTTACGCTACATATAGATATATTTACTTCTTTTGGATTTTAAGACACTGAAACTATATTTGCACTATGAGATTTTTAACAAAGATATACACAAAAAATTGCACAAGATTCCTTAGGAATATCATTAATCAGATAGACCTTTATGTCCTCCTTAACTCTTTAGTTGAAAGTTTAATGATTACAGGTAGAAGTGTAATTGTGATAAATGTTGCTATTTTTATTAAATTTTGAAACATAGTACATGTCTGTATGAAGACAATGAATATGTAATACCGTTTTCTTATCTTTCCAAGCAGTGGCAAGCAATTGGTCGTGCTGCATCTGTAATGTCTCCCCTCTCCTTAAATCCGGATTTCTTAACTCTGGCGGAAACCCTTCTGAGTCGCTCTTTATTGTCCCACAACTAAAAATCCCATTCTGAAGCAAGGTTCGCACCAAGGAAATGGATGTAAAGAACCTGATATTATATAAAGTATAAAAATATTAGACATTGAAAAATATGAAATTATTTTGAGAATGAATCTTTTATCATTCAGTCTTGTTGAACAATGTTGAAGTCATTTTAAGTTGTTTCAAACACAAACCTGTCAAAGAACACATGATGGCCTTTGTATTTCAATGGTCTACACAAGTGTTTGACGACTCTTTCTCCTAGTGACTTTCCATGAAAAAAGTCATGTTTTCCCATATATGGCCAATAATCGTAGCAGTAACCATCCTCATCACATCTCATGAATATCTGAAAAAAATATTTTGTTGCATCAAACTTTTTTTATAACTATTCACCTAGCATTTCAGAGACATATACATTAGCCGGTGGACCAGTTACTGGGGGCATGATTCCCGTATATACTTGCCTATAAGTCAGATTTTTGGGAGTAAATCCCTAGTCCAAAACTTTATGTCCGACTTGTAGGCTAACTATAAAATGAATGGAATCATATGAGGTCAGTCCCCCTGATATATAAGCTTATTAAATACAACTAACTTATAGGCGGACCAACTTATAGGCGAGTATATACGGTACCTGTCCTTCTCATTCATTCCCTGATCCACCTCATCATCATATAAAAAAATTTTTAATGCTTCCTTAGTGTTTTTTTTAAAATATGTAATGAATAATTTTTTTAAAAATTACATTATTTTGTGTATCACAATATCAATTTATTGAATGCAAATAGGCATTACATTGATACAAACCTTAAACCCTCTCTTGACCGGTTTATTTGGCATGTATTGTCTTGCAAAAAATCTCCCTTTGTACTTAACCATGCCCTCATCAATAGCCTGCTGCTTAGGTGGATTCATCTGACTCCGGAATGTCCTTCTTGTCTCATCAAGTACAGGTCTTATTTTGTGTAATCTGTTGAAAAGAAATGTGAAATATTTAAGAAATAAGATATCATTTTTAGATTTTCATTGGGATGTGACATGAAGTCAGTCACATGATCAAATTCTATAACACCTGAATTGCGTTATAGTAGATCTGATCTCGTACTGACTTCTTGTCACATCCCAATGAAACTCTAAAAAATGATATTTTATTTCTTATATTTATATTTTACTTTAATTCCTGTTACAAGGAAAAATAGGCGCTATTTGGACATTGTTATAGAAATGCAACATAACGTAACTACAGTGTCATATGACATCACAGTCAAGACTTTCTAATAGTCTCGTGCGGTTTGCCCAACTGCATGTCATTGAAAATTGAATGTAAAAATTATTTATATTGTCATATAAGGAAAGACATAAGCAAATGTAAATATAAATCTATAAAACAAAATGAAGACACTAAACTATAGTGATGTGAATCAGTGTCAATTTCATAACTGATTATTGGTTTTCTGTAACAAACATTAGTTATAATTAATTTAAGATCACTGTTGAATAATTTCTAGAATATTTATTGATTAACTATTAAAATAGAGAATTATAAATTGCATACCTGTCAAATTCAGGTGTTCCTCTGGCTCCCTGAGTAGTATTATCACTTAGATGGAAATACCGAGTGAGCTTTTCAAATCTTTTCAAACTCAGCGTTTCTTGAAAACCAATGTTACCTGCATATGATTGTAAATTTCACTTATCAATGTCAATTTTAAAAAATAAATTCAACAATAAATGGATTTTATCTCTAGAAAATGAGAAAAGAAATATAGAAACAATTTTAAATGACTTACACTGCCAATTCCAGAAGAGCACTTAGCAGGTGCAAAGTATTTTCATTTTATATTCAACATATTCCTCAATATTTAGAAAAGTTTATGATCCGAGTTGTTTCATGGTAAAGGTTTGAAGACATTGGTCAGCTCAACATCTACATAAATATTGTTTGAATAGAAATACAAACATAAATTTAAAACAAATGAAACAAATTGAATGGGTGTGCAATCTATAGACAAAATCAAAAATGTACAATACATTATGTTTATATCTTTGTTACACACACAAAACAAAGACAAAAAAAGTAAACGTTGTAGTCATGAAGGTTTCCAGAAAATGCGAGACACAAATTATGAACTTAACATAAGTTCATTACATGTAATAATATTCACTATTTTTAATTTTTTATCAAGGAAAAATGGATCAGTGTCCGTTGTAAATATAATAAAATTTAATGTACTTTTCAAAATCTGGAAAGGAAAATGACTGAGAATATTTTTTTTTCAAATTGTAACAAGAACATTATTGTAAACAGAAAGTAATATAAAGAAACAAAAACAATATAGGTGCAAATTTGATAACTTACCGATAAACTTATCAGATGACCAATACATAGTGTATCTGGGAAGCTGAATAATCCCCATCAGAATTTGTAATCCGAGGAATGCCTTCATCTCGTCGATGGTGGTATCGGTCCAACCCTGAGCTCCACTCTGAGCAGCATACGAATTGGTGTTGTCCACAAGTACCTGTACCAGACTCAAGGGAAACAAGAGCAGGAAATATATATAACAGAGGATTTGCATCCGAAGAGAGCTGATGAGTGGGACATGAAGTATCGACGAAGTCTGGAACATCAAAGTCTTCCATAACATCAGTCCAGAAGTCAGAATCTCTAATGTCGCTTGCCTGGCTGTCAAGGTCAAATAATGTGGAATCTGTGTCCTGGTTATCATCGCTGTCTGTCTCACTTCCAAAGGAATGGTCGCTGTCTGAATCATCCTGATCAAAATCTGATCCAGACTCGGATGAATCGTCGCCAAATTCTTCGTCTGTATCTATATCTGACGATTCTGGGGATGAAGAAATGTCGCAAGAAGCCATATTGTTTACACGTGTTACGAATGTTGCGAAATATACGCAGAACGATCCCGACAGATTTTCATATTTTCGCATGTTTTTTTTTTTTTTTATCAAAACAACAAAACCATCTACTTTGTTGTAAATGTGGATATGTGGTTATGTATTTTAAACAATTTTTACTCGTTTTTTCCTCTTCCAGGGAAATTCAAAAATTTTTATATCCATATATCGTAATACGAACGTAACTCTCAAAAATATTTTTTGAATTGGTCAACTAAAAACATTTTATATCATTATCTAACACGCTTATTTATATTTTAACTAGATAATTAGTTTCTAACACATCTAATTGAATAAACTATTTGGTTTTGATATTTTCTGAAGTTGTTTAAACGTGTTTTGCTACGAAAAATTGACAAGTGTTTGTACCGCGTGGATTTCGATCGCGGCAAATATCGCTTGAATAATACACGTTGTTTAACTCAAAATACCAAAAAACTGGTAAATCAAATTAAAAAAAAATTAGAACAAACTTTCTTTGCAATTGTTCCCTCTTTCTAATGATACAAAAATTATTTCAATATTCGCAGTATTAAAGAAGTTATGAATATTTGTTTACACTCTACACGTTTTTCACGCCAGAGGCGTAGAAAAGCGTATATGCCATGGAAGGGGTTAAACGCAATGATTATTACGTTTAAACACAATGATTATTGCGATTAATCGCAATGTTTTGCGTTTAAACGCAATAAAAAATTTTCTTTCTCTGAACTGGCCTCAAGGGGCTTCCGTAAGGTTAAGATCATTATCTTTTTTTCTTAACATTATGAATAAAATATCATTACAAATTATGTGATGTCTGTTCCTAAACTCATTGCATTTAGAAGATATATTCATGACATAAGCAGATGATTTCTTTATGTCTTTACGCCAATAAATAACTGAGTTAAAACTCTGAGATACTTTTTAGAATAAATCTTTCAACAGTTTAAAACATTATTTCCTCCCCCGCGGGATTTTAACTAGTCAAATTTTAAACACTTGACTTAAAATAAATTTGAATTTGACTTCAAATAAATTTGAACACCTTTATTTCATTGAATGTTATTAATGATGGTCCTATGAATCAAACTAAACTACCATGCATTGAGTCGTAATACAACTAAAACTCTCTATATTTTTATTAGTTATTTTTTATTACAATGTATATCTTTTCCGAAGTTTTACCCTAATGTAACATGCAGCGGGTTGCTCTGTTTGTCTTATTTAGAACAAAGCGTGCTTTACCGGAACAACTAGTCCCTCCCTCTGGTCTCCTTAGGATATTGTGTTTTTACCCTGTTCAAGATTTTGTTCCTGGTCACGTTTTGTTTTTCTGAATTTATGGACTTGATCATCATCAGTTATCTTCATCCTTGTGTTAATATAAAATATATTAAATGTTGTTTTGTATTTTACTTCTTTTAATGAAAATTTCATAACCATACTGTCTCTTGTTTTCATAATTAACTGTCTCAATACTGTCTCTTGTTTTCATAATTAATTGGATTGTCTCAATGTACATAATGTCAAATTATATCGAAAAATTGTTTACCAGATGCCATAGTTTATTTCAAAAATATTAAGTATATTTCTAATTGTTGCGTTAATAAAGATGATTGTCAAAGACCTTGAAATGATTATAGATACTTTTCCTAAATGTAAGTACATCGTCGGTAACCCTCGGGTGATTCACATTGATTCTCTCTATGTTTGAGAAAGCTTGCGGACTCAAAACCCCTGGTTTGCGACGATGATGTAAGTAAGGCTGCCTGAAATTAATTTTACATGTAACATCACCCACGAGGGAGGGAGAAAAATGAAATAAACAAAATTCAAACAAATAAGTATTTAGTCTATTTACTCCTTTACATGAATCATATTAATGTAAATACTTGTGCATAATAAAGCATTAGAATTCAGTGATTATTCAGTTAAAACTAGAGGTACAATGAGCTCACTAAATGATACTTCCCGCATCCTACTTGAATATAATGGCAGTGTCCATGTTTTGCTATGGGAAACCCAAAATATGTGTCGGATCAAAAAGTAAAATAGGAGGTTACGATGGCAATATGTAGTAAAGATTCTGTGAAAGTTTCATCGAATTACATTCAGTGGTATGAGAGGAGTTGCGGATAAGAGATGGGTACCCCAAAGCGTAACAGACTGACGGACGGACGGACATCCCGATTACTATATACCCTCCCGCTTTACAAGCGGTGGGTATAATGAAGGAATCATATCAACCATACCTTATTTAGGTCCAAATAGTTCTCTTTTTTATGAATTGCCTTTTCTTTATTTTTTTCTCCCATTTCTTCATTCAAAAAAGGAAAACAAATTGGAAGAGCCAACTTCAAAAATTAGGACATATTTTCTAAAAGTACTGAAATTTGCGTGTGCAGATGACTATTACAATAAAACTAGAGGTACTGTGAGCAATGAGCTCACTAAATGATACCCTCCCCCCCCCCGCCTCCCATATGATTATAACGAAAAAGTCCATGTTTTGCTGTGGCCGGGAAACCCAAAATATGTGTCGGATCAAAAAGTAAAGTAGAAGGTACACAATGGCAATATGTAGTGAAGATTCTATGAAAGTTTCATTCAATTTCACTCAGTGGTATAAGAGGAGTTGCGGATAAGAGATGGGTACCCCAAAGCGTAACAGACAGACGGACGGACATACCGATTACAGTATACCCTCCCACTTTTCAAGCGGAGGGTATAATAAAATTCATTATACTAAGTAATTATTTTACATCCTAATCTAGAGTGTGTACATGTATGTTATAAAACTTATAAATAAATATTTCTTTTATTTTTATATAGTAAAACTAAAGGTACTGTGAGCAATGAGCTCACTAAATGGTACCCCCCGCCTCCCATATGTATATAAATGGCAGTGTCCATGTTTTGCTATAGAAAATCCAAAATATGTGTCGGATCAAAAAGTAAAATAGGAGATGCACAATGGCAATATGTAATAACGATTCTGTGAAAGTGGTATGAGAGGAGTTGCGGATAAGAGATGGGTACCCCAAAGCGTAACAGACAGACAGACGGACGGTCATCCCGATTACTATATACCCTCCCGCTTTTCAAGCGGGGAGTATAAAAATTCCCGCGGCAATCTGTCAAACTTCCTACACCAGAATTGCCGATATTGTTTGAGGATGCTGATGCAAGAGATGTTATAATGACGATGTCGATTGTTTGTCAATGGACAATCCAAGAAGTCCCAAAACAAAAAGGTATGTTGCAACAGTTAATGTAAAAATGTATTAAGGAAGCTTCAAACACTGTATTCTACAGAGTTCTAATTGTAGGGTAGTTTTATGCTGTTAGAATGATTTGCCCTTAGAAGTGAGATGAAAAAATGGTTATTTGCAGTTAATTACACAATTTGTAATACACTGAAATACGCTTAATATTATGAGGTACTTGTGGAGAGGACCCCCCATATTTAACCCGGGGCTTGTTGGACATTTTTTGGGGGGGAGGGGGCATTCTAGTCTCGAACAGTTGGTGCATATATATTGACACAAATATCTTTTTCTTAGCGAAGAACAAACTTGAGAGAACTGTTTTACCTAATATTTGTTAGAACATATATCAAATTCGTCGAGACAATAGGATACTAGTATCTTATTCCGAGTTCAATAAGGTGAAAATATTGATATTGTGAAAATTATTGATTTCACAGTTTGGATAATCAAAATTTACTAAAGGTTAGCACGCCATCCCTTCCTGGCTGAGAAATCTGAAACATACCGGGAAAAATGACGTAAATATCGGTAAATTAATCGGACGAGGTGTGGATGATTAACACAGAAACAGAAAGAGGTCAGTGTTTAAAGTCATAAGGCTTTTTCTACCGCGTGCCAACCAAGTCCATTCGAGTTTTCACCCATATGAATATGATGGGAGTGTCCATGTTTTGTTGTGGGAAACCCAAAATATGTGTCGGATCAAAAAGTAAAATAGGAGGTGCACAATGGCAATATGTAATAACGATTCTGAGAAAGTTTCATTAAATTTCATTCAGTGACCACGAGTATGAGAGGAGTTGCGGATAAGAGATGGGTACCCCAAAGCGTAACAAACAGACGGACAGACGGACATACCCATTACTATATACCCTCCCACTTTTCAAGCGGGGGTATAATAATCTGTTAGCAGCTAGTATAAAATAACCAGAAATTTCAGTGACATCCATCCCCCACCCCCGGAAGCGCAGAATATTACAATATTGGCTAAATGTAAGGAAATGTAATTACTGTATTTTGAGTGCGTGCATGTTATCAGGATGTGGTAGCGAATCCCTGGATTATCAATATAAAAAATGATATGTTCACTCTAGGTTTAGCTGACTTGTTTCGAAGTAATCAAAAGATTATTACATTATTATATTAGACATAACAAAATAGAATATGTGATGTTTTTAAGCAAAAAGCTTTACTTGATATATGTAAATCACCAAAATGCATGTTATATAAGCATTTAGTTGATAATGTTTGCTTGTAAAGTTATTTAAAGATAAATTCATATAAAATACAGAAAAGCAGTTTCTTGCTTTAGACTTTCAGCACATAACTCAAAGATGATATTGAAGATGAATTTCATTTTGTTTATTCTTTTGTCTAGTTTTTCACTTGTCCGTTTTAAATTCGCCCAGTCCCAGTTACGGTGTTCTTTGATTTCGCCCCGTTTTAAATTCGCCCACTTATGACGAGGGCGAAAGGGGCGAAAATAAGACGGAGGCGAAAATTTATTTGCACTGTACTGTAATCGTATGGGATGTACGTCCCACAGAATAAAGAACTGAACTGAACTACAGGTCGGGGTCCATTAAATTAGGCATACAGTTGACAACACATGAATGAATATTAAGGCAAGCAGATCAGCACAGTCATGGTATCGCAGGAAACTTCCTACCGACTCTCCAGTAAAAAAAAAAAAAGCAAGTGATTTTTTACGTCGATTTTGCGAGTATTTTACACACATATGAGACGGCAGCAAATACCGTTGATTTAGATTTAGTTTTCTAAGCACAAACTGCCGCATTGATTTCAGCAGTGAGGGTTCCTTCCCCTGTCAACGTCCTCTGTGACAATGGACCT